ACTTCTCAGGGAGACAGGTTTTGGAAACCTAATGATTCTGGTGCAACAGCAGTAGAAGTGGAAAGTCCAAACAAGCGTTGGCAGACCATGAGGACAGGAAAGTGTCGTTTGGGAGTGCTTCTTGACAGCGAGTGTCAGGTAGCTCACAGCTTTTGGATGGGTCACTGCAGCAAGCCTGGGGAGAAGTGAAGGCTGCGTTCACTCCTACCCCTCTATACTGGGGCACTATACTAGCCAGATAGCCTAGTCAGACCGGAAGTTAGAGAGCATGAGGGTAGTGCCTACAACATCTTAACAGGCCCCAAGCAAGCCCTTTAGCATTTCAGACCTTTGCAGGCATAAAGCCATGCGGTAGAAAGACTAATGGTGGGGCCATCTCTAACACTGTGGAGTATACTAGCTCACTGGCGTGCGGGGGTCGACTGAGGAGAGGACACAGTGGGGTGGTGGCCCAGGGCAATGGAGTCCTGAATCTTTCAGAGCTCAGAGAACAGTCCTTGACTTCCTAAGACTGACAAGTCCTTGCTGCTCTTCTCTTATCCCTGGCACATCCTGGTTGTCACAACCTTGTTGGGTGTCCCCCCATGGCTAGAGTTGGGGTTAGAATTGTCCACTCTAGTACAATAGGGAATTCAGTCTAGGAAAAACAAACAAACAAACAAAAAAAACCTGGTTAGATGGGTGGTTTTGGTAAATGGTCTAAAAGAAGGTAAGTGGAAGATTCTAGAGTGACTAGAGCATAGAACAGGTTCAGTGAGGCCTGAGACAGAAGGCAGAGAGTTTCTTTGGTGTGTCTGAAGAGCATAGGGAGCCAATGTGGCCAGGCTGGGCATGGAGGCTGTGTGGATGTCTGTAGCTCACATTTCTTTGGGGTTCCTTCATGTCTGAAGGAGATGATGACCAAGAACATTGTAAAAGGGCTAGGAAGCTGAAGAATGCTAAGGCAGCTGGTCCAGGTAGCCTGTGTGAGCAAAGCCAGACTGTGTCCAGGGAAGGAGCTGTACAGTGACAGTGCTGAGGACAGTGGGGGAGACTTCAGTGTGCTTGCAGAAGCCATCATCCATACCTAAACATCCATTGCTAGAAAATCATCTTTCTTCTGAGGATAAGTGGAAACAAGATGTGTGAAATTCGGAAGCAACTCCCAAATCTACAAAAGTCCAGAACTTTTTATTCAGTGAAGTACACTGTAGAAGTAGAGGGGAAGGCTACATCTTGTTGTGGCAGAATGTGATGAGGACTGTCTGCAATGATGCACAGCAGTGAGAACAAAATTTACAACTTTAAAATGTTCGCATTAGCACTGGGGAAATGCACAGAGTTAGTGAGGATGGAATGGCGTTGCACCCAAGCCGGGGGGGGGGGGGGGTCACAGGGAGAGCAGTTAGTGCACTGGAACGTAAACAGACACAAGTTAGTCATTGGAGAAGATAGTAAACGGGGCCTAGCTGGGTAGAGCTCCTTCTCACCCCCGTGCACACCCACGATCGACACTGTACCCTGAGTACCTCCCTACTCCTCTTTCCGACCCTTTTTTCGAGACGGTCTTTCTAGGTGCCCAAACTGTCTTACTGTGTGGCTCAGGTAGGCATCCAACTTTCAGTCTTCCTACCTTAGCCTCCCAAGTGGTTAGGATTACTGTGCTGCCAAGTCCCACGAAGTTTCAGAAACAGAACGGCAATGAAGAGTTAAGAACAACTTCTGCTTTGAGCACTCTGCTTACAGGTCTGAAAACTTCAGTGTTCAAAGATGCCAGTGAAAGCTAGGAAGGCTTCCTGTGGTGACTCATGCCTGTAATCCTTGCACAAGGGAGGTTGAGACAGGGTTAAAAGAGTTCAGGACCTACTGGGAAGTGGTGGTACACATCTTTAATCCCCAGCAGTGTGGAGGCAGAGGCAGGCAGATCTCTGCATTCAAGGCCAGCCTAGTTTACAGAGTTCCAGGATAGCCACGGCTACACAGAGAAACCCTGTCTCGAAAAACCAAAAAAAAAAAAAAAAAAAAGAATTAATAGAACCATCAGAATTAATTCTTTCCTTCCTTTCATTCTTTCCTTCTCTTTCTTTTTGTTTGTTCTTTTTGAGACAGGGTGTTTCTTTACATAGCCCTGCTTTTCCTAAAACTCACTATGTAGACTAGGCTGTCCTTGACCTCACAGAGATCCATCTGCCTCCCATATGCTGTGATTAAAGGCATGTATCAGTTTAGAGTTCAGCAAGATTGCTAGATGCAAGCATAGTACACAAAATTAAATTAAATACCTGCTCCCAGCAATGATACTAAATTCCTTAGAATAAATCTTAGTGTTAGATAAATCCTAAATAAGAATGATTGAATTTTATTGAAAAATGTAAATACACAGTGGTATCATTTTGATTTAGAAAACTCCCTATTACTGTAATGATTCTTCCCAAATTGATCAGGAATTGAATGCAGTTTTGGTCAAAGTTTTATCATACTTTGTTATTTGTTTATTTGTTTGTTTTAGAACAGGGATTTGTTGTAGCCCAGGTTGTCTTCAAACTCCTGGTCTTCCTGCTTCTATCCAGCTCTGAATGAAGAGTAAGTTGAGGAATGTGTACATAATTCCCCTGATCTTTCTATTAACTTAACTAAATGATTTTTCTATGATCAGTATGGAAAGGTAAGAGCCAGAGACAGACTCAGACTGGAATTTGCCATATCAGTTATTAAGAATCGTCCTCACGAGGCCAGCCTGGTCTCCAAAGCGAGTACCAGGAAAGGCGCAAAGCTACACAGAGAAACCCTGTCTCGAAAAACCAAAAAAAAAAAAAAAAGAATCGTCCTCATTCCTAGTACTTCAGAGTAGAAACTAGAGGATCATAAATTCAGGGCCATCAGGGTGGTGGTGTACGCCGTTAGTTCCAGCACTTGGGAGGCAGAGTCGGGTGGATCTCTGAGTTCCAGGCCAGTCTCGTCTGCAGAGTGAGTTCCAGAGGCCAGCCAGGGCTCCACAGAGAAACCCTGTCTCGGACCCTCCCGCTCCCCACTAGAAAAGGTTCGAGGCATCCTCAGCTACATAGCTTGAGGCTAGCCTGAGCTACATGAGACTCTGTCTTGGAGGGGAGGTTATTATCATAATATGTGTGAAGATAATTAAGATCATGCAGAGAAGGAAATCAGTAGGCCAATGCAACAGACTAGGGAGCCCTGTGATAAACACCTGAAGGTCTAACTGAGATCCCAAGAATGAATGGGTACTTTAATCCATGCTGCTGAGGGAGTTAGTCAGACAGGGGTAACCCTAGAGGACACTTGAAAGACATGGACCTGGTAGGAAGAGGGGGTCATGAATGACCCATGAATATGTAAAAGGATGGACATGTTTATTAGAGAGCAAGAAAACATAAAACTGTTGCAAAATAGACTTCATATGTACCACTTTTGGTACAAATTTAAAAAGTAGGTTATATCAGAAAGTTAGAAGCAACTCCCAGGGCAACAGGCCCTTCTCAGTGGATCATAAGCGGTGTGGAAGCTGGTCTGGAATTCGGTGCTGAAAGCACAGGGACCCGTTGCCCAGTAGCTGTCGTGTGTGCACAGAACAAAGGGATGTAAACAAGAATAGGAGCGACACAAAGCACAGACAGGGTCTGCCCCAGCGATCGTCTGGGTCCTTTTGATAGATAGATTTCAGCTACAGATCAGCAAAGGCGAATTCCACAAATGAAATGTGTGGTAGACAAAGCCAGTCACCAAAGAATGACACCCCCCCCACACACACACCCCTTATGTCTATAGTAAACTCAGAAGTGTGGTACAGCTATCCACTGCATTGTTTCAGCTGTGATCAACTCAAAGGCAAAGCAGGAGGTGGGTTACACAGCTTGGTTTGGTTCAGGGTGCTTTGTAGTGGACCTGGAAATGGTGCGGTATTTAAACATTTGTCTTCCATAAGAAAGGATGATTTGTTTCATATTTTCACAATAGTAATTGGAAAATCCATACACAAGGTTGACATTTAACATTAGATATACACAGAAATATTCTCTATCCCCCCTTTAAAAGGGTTTTTTTTTATTGTGTGTGTGTGTGGGGGGGGATGTAGGGTGGTTCATGTGTAGAGGTCAGAAGTCAACTAGTAGGAGTTGGTTCTCTTCTTTACTGGTCGAGCTGTCCCACCAGGCCGTCCAACCCTTGTAAAAGGCAGGTGTGACCCACTAAGTTGACCTTGTTTGTTCTCATAGTTTGGAAATGTTCTACTGCTGAACCTGGTGATAAGCACCCACCTATTCTGTTAGCCTCTTGCCTTGGTGCTCAACCATCCGAGAGCAGGGTCCGCCCAGTGCTGATGGGAGAGTGCCTCTGGGGAGCCAAGCAGAATAGGAGGGGGTGCCAAGCTTCCTGTCTGGGAAGGAGCCTGCATTTGTAGGGAAGTAGACTTGTCCCTTATAGCTTCTTCTGACTTGGGGGGACTCCTGTGAACCCCTGTGTAATGGGAAATGTTCAGAGTGTCTTAGCTTTGCCCTCTGTGGACTTACTAGACGACTGTCTCCAGTCGCTCTTGTCTGGCAGGCTCTGGACTTAGCTCTGCCCAGTCTTGTTGGCATGGTGTAGCACCCTCTGGGTAGCTGCCACCCTCAGTTGGCAGGGTACAGACTCGTGTGTCACTGTATCCTCTGCCCTCACCCCATTTATTTCGCACTTTCTGAAGTTACCTGTGAGTTTTTGTTTGTTTTTTTCTGAGCTGAGGGGGCGTATTCGGCTTACAATTCCAGGTTACAGTTCGTCAATGCATTTAACAGATTTTTTTTTTAAGTTTATGTGTACGTGTGTGAGGCTGTGTGAGTTTATGTGTACCATTATTGTGCCTGTGCCAGAGGAGGCCAGAGGATGTCAAATTCCCTGGAAGTGGACTTAGAGACTATTGTGAGCATGCTGTTGTAAGTGCTGGGAATCAAACCCTGGTCCTGCAAAAACATGGACACTCTTTAACACACTCCAGCCCCTATTCTGAATTTCGACTCTGACTTCTTCAGGTACCAAGCCGGCTGCCTCTGTGGACCCATGGGGAGTGCCTACCACAGCCAGCACACAGTCTGTTCCCAAGAACCCAGACCCTTGGGCAGCCTCACAGCAGCCTGCCTCCAGTGCTGGGAAAACAGCAGATGCCTGGGCAGCTGCCAAGCCCAGCTCTGCCTCAGGTGATCCCTTTGCTCAACCTGGTTTCTGGAGCTTCACTACTTCTCCCTCCTGGTGCACTGGCAGTAGCTAGCTGACTGACCATTTCTGTTCCCATGGGGCCCCAAACATGAGTTCTGGCCTTCTCCCTGGGTGGCAGGCTGATCTCGTGTCTCCCTGGGGACACTTCCCACAGACTCTATCCCAGTGTCCAGACCCTACACACATTTGCCCACACTGCTGGCTCTTATCATGTTTGTCGTGGAATGGTAGAGGCAGTGGTAGGCATTCATGTTCCCCGATCCCACCTGTTGCCTTCTCTGTCCACGTAATTGACTCTGGCTTGGCCCTGAGTTTACACTATGATGTGGGATGCTTGGGAGAAGCCGCTCTGGCCTGTTTTAACCCACTATCCCCATGCAAATTGGGCACCTGTTGTGCTGGGGAGTGGAAAGAGATGCCCTCAGTCACCAGCTTGTATGTTCCCTCAGGGTCTTTTGAACTCTTCAATAATTTCAATGGTACAGCTAAAGATGACTTTTCTGAATTTGACAACCTTCGAACTTCAAAAAAACCAGGTAGGTTAAAGATAGTTTCTATATAGCATTTAGACAGGCTTTCTCTGTGTAGCTTTGCCCCTTTCCTGAAACTCGCTTTGTAGACCAGGCTGGCCTCGAGCTCACAGAGACCCACCTGCCTCTGTCTCCCGAGTGCTGGAATTAAAGGAGTGTGCCACCACTGCCTGGCATTTTGTGTATTTGGTGAAAATCAGTCACCACCTGATTGATTTTAGAAGGAACAAGCTTTTCAGGGAGGGGGTGTGTGTGTGTGTGTGTGTGTGTGTGTGTGTGTGTGTGTCTGTCTGTCTGTCTGTCTGTCTGTCTGTCTGTCTGTGGTTCTTTCCTGTCATCTCATGTGAGCTTCCAGCAAATTCTGCTCTTTTCTGCCTCCTGTCTGCTGTTGGAATGCTGGGATTGTAGACTTGTGAGGCACTGCATCTGCCTCTTTTACTGGGCTCTGGTGATGGAACTCAGAGTCTCAGGCTTACACAACAGATGCTTTTACCTGTGGAGATATCTCACTGGCTCCTCAGTAGGCTGTTGCAGACATTTTACCTGTGGAGATATCTCACTGGCTCCTCAGTAGTCTGCTGCAGACATTTTACCTATGGAGATATCTCACTGGCTCAGTAGTCTGCTTGCATCTTACTGTCAAGAGTTCAGAAGGAAAATGTAGGAAATGAATGGAAACAAGGGTGTGTTTATGCTTTGCCGTGAACCTCCAATCATACCTTGATTTTTTTGAGGATTGTGCTATGTTTACTTGTGTGAATCTTGCTTTTCCATTTACCGTTTTTTAATTACATTTGGTTTATTTATTCATTTGTTTAATGCTCTGTGTGTGTACGTTGTTTACAATAGTTTTCACGTGGGATGAGAAGACAGCTTGCTTTGTCCTTGTCTTGCAGCCGAGTCAGGGGCCTCAGTCCCAGCCCAGGACAGCAGAACCACAAGCCCTGACCTCTTCGAGTCTCAGCCCCTGACTTCTGCCTCAAGCAAGCCTAGCAGTGCCCGGAAAACGCCTGAGTCCTTCCTGGGCCCCAATGCGGCTCTGGTGAACCTGGACTCACTGGTGACCAAGCCTGCTCCACCAGCCCAGTCCCTCAATCCCTTCCTGGCACCAGGTAGGCATGTGCTGAACTTCATCAGTGGCTGTAGTGTCCATGCTGGCCTCTGCCTCTTTCGCCCCTCTCAGGGACTGCTTCCTGGAGGAGAGCCTGGCGTAGAAGCTGTCTGGAAACTGTGCCTGCAGGGATGTTCTTCCTAGTGCTAGCTTTGGGTCTCGGAGGCCTTTGCTGCCCTCTGTCTATCCCATGTGTAGAAGCAACGCCATAGCGCTTCAGCATGAGCTACTCCTGGAGGCTGAAGGGCCCTTGTCATAGTGCCTGGCACAGCATTCTGCACAGCGTGTTCCAGGCCCTCACTGCCAGAGGACAGGTCCAATAACTTGACCCAGTACTTGGGGTCCCCATGGCCTTGCTCTGGACTCTGACCTCCAACCTTTTAGCCCATTTCTACCCTCTTGCATTCCCATGTGGACCGCACTCTTGGCTATACTGAGCTAAATAACAACCCTCCAGATTGAGCAGTCCCCTCTGCCTCCAGGCCGTGACACTCCCTACTCACTCTACTTGCACATCCCCCCTTTCCACATCCCTTCAGCTGAGTCTTCATCTAGTCCATACTTCTGCCCTTACTCTGCACAGATTCTTCAAGACTTAGACCTCCCAAGAGTGTCAACCCTGACCTGACTCTGTGTGTCACGGGCTGGAGGACTTTATTTCTCTGTCCCTACAGGTCCTGGCAGAGGAGTATGATATCTAGAAGCTGAGGTTTGGGGCCTGTGGGCAGAAACAGAATCTGGAATTTTAGGTTCCATCCTACCCTGAGGTCCTAATGGTTGAAGGCATGATATCTTTAGAGGAAAGTTGCCCTGTGAGTGGAGCTGGACAGGACTTGAGTCCTCAGATAATCTGGTGCCTGTTCCTGCCCAAGAGACTCTTCTCCCGAGTCCCAGAGTCCAAGAGCTGTGAGGGGCTCCTGAATTGTGGTGGGCCGTGCCTACAAACCTATTCTGGACTTTAGGGGCTATGGCTAGATTGAGGAAGTTTTGACAGATGTGGTGAACTCAGGGTCATTCTGGGCCTCACGGGTAGACCTGGATCTGCCATTCCTGATATGACTACAGATCACCTTTGTTTTCTGTGGACCTGGGGTCACATAACAGTCCTGGTAGAAGTGTACCGCAGAGTGGGTCAGAGTACAACAGCTTCTGCTTATCATGGTGGCTCACGCTGCCCCTTGATGAGCAGGCCATGTTGGTGAGTGGGGCCTAATGAGCTCAGAGACTTAGTGACAGCAGTGTCACGTATCCCGGAAAGACAGACGCACCAGTTATTTCACTGACAGAAGAGCCTTTGGTTGAGGGCTGTTTAGAGAGGCCGGGTGAGAGTAGGCCACCTGACTTCTCAGCAGCAGGCCCTTCCTTCTCAAGCCTTCTTCCTGGTGCCAGTGTGTACATTCTAGGATGCTGCATGGCCTTTCCCAGGCACTTGTAGCCACAATGGCAGACAGACTGAGGGAGCAGGGCAACTGACAGCAGCCTGGGTACCCACCCTTCAGAACTAGAGGACCCGAGCCTGTGTGCTCTTGGCTCTGCCTTGTTTAGCTCTATAGCCCTGGACAGGTCCTACACTCCACAGACATAGTCTTCTTGGCCTCAGCAATCTGTAAATGTTTGCCAGTGTCTCCTGTGGAGTCTATCCTACCGATCAGTGTTGGAGTGCCAGATGTGGAGGCGTGTGTGTGTGTGTGTATGTGTGTGTGTGTGTGTGTGTATGTGTGTGTGTGTTACACCTGTCCTGAGGGGGTCGTGCCTTCCAGTGACTCAGCTGTGTTCTCCTTGCTCTTTTATCAGGTGCTGCCACCCCAGCCCCTGTCAACCCCTTCCAGGTCAACCAGCCCCAGCCGCTGACACTGAACCAGCTTCGGGGGAGCCCTGTCCTTGGGAGCAGTGCATCTTTTGGATCTGGTCCAGGGGTGGAGCCTGTGGCCCCCGTGACCTCAGTAGCCCCACACTCAGCCTTGGGGGCCAGTGGCTCTTCATTGACCCCACTAGGCCCTACAGCAATGAAAATGGTAGGCAGTGTGGGCATTCCCCCGTCAGCAGCTCAGGCAACGGGCACAACCAACCCCTTCCTTCTCTAGTGCCCAGGCTGGGACTTGCCTGAGTGAACACCAGAGTGCCGAGCCCAAGGATGTCAAGTGGGGACTCGCTCTGATTTGTGTAGTGGCTGAGAACATGGCGGTAGGGGTGTTAGAGCTTCAGGTCCAGCTTCCTGGTGAAAGGGTGGTTGCTATAGTCCAGACCTTCAGGCTGGAGTACGGGTGGGATGGTCTCACTGTCCTAGCCGGCCCCGTTTCTCTTCCTAAGTGCTCAGCTCTGACTGTGCTCCACTGAGGTCTTGAACTAGGAGGTGTTACCAGTGTTGTCTAAGATTCTGGGATGCTGTCTCACCCAGGACTTGGGACAATCATATTGTGTGCCCCACCCCCAGTGATCCTCAGGGTGTGGACAAAGTGAAGCTCTAGCCCCACACCACACTGACCGTTGAGAAGTGGTTGTGCATATTTTATTTTCCTTTGACTCGTGGGAGTCCAAGGTAAACAGCACTAGTGTGGGCTTTGCGCTGACCAGAGCACAGCCTGCCCCGTGGCTCTGTGCTTGTGCACGTTTGCACATTTTGTTGAGTACAGTTTCATATTTGAGTTTGCAAAATTATCTAATAGTCTTTTTTTGGCTAATATTTTTATAATGTGGTTCTTATTTAACTGTCTAGTTTTGATAGAATTGACCAAGTCTGGCTGAATTAAGGTCTTGGCACGTATTATTTTAGTGGTCTAATTTCTCTTATTTATGGTCTTAACTGTAAGAAAACTTTAAAAGAAGAGATATTTGGATGACAAAAATATGCCTTATGGAAAACTAAGCAAATTCTTTATAGGAAAAAAATTCCAGAATTTGATTACACAAAAACCTTTTTATTAAAACAAAAACTTGCAACAGTAACAAAACCCTGCAGCCTCCAGTTGCCTTTCCCCTTCCTCAGCTCTTCTGATGAATTACCAAATCAGCTGACTCTTGAGCCTTTTCGCTTAGATCCTGAGAGGCTTTTTTACTAGTATATTGACATCTTAATGTTAAAGGGAAAACAGACAAGGCGTGAGTGTGACTCGCAGGTTTTATCAACTCCTCCCTCCCTCTCTTTGTACCTGGCATACAGGGATTGCCCGGAACTTCTGTTTACTGCACACCAGAGGTGCGGCTGGCTGCGCCATCATCATGCTCAGGTTAATGAGACTGTGTGAAAATGGGGGTGGCTGTGCACTTCTGGGCCCATGGGTCATCAAGGCTAGTCTCCAAGCTGAGTTAGGACAGGGCCTGACCCTGATGTGTCTGCCGCCAGCTCCAGCTCAGGCTGTTGACCAGGAAGTGATCCTATCTTACTTTGGAGATGAAAGAATCCTCACATGGCGTCGATTTTTAACAGACGCTCACTGATGCTATATTCCCTCCCAACCTTCCGAATCCTCACTCTACTCACTCTTAAGGAAAGTATTAAATCCTGAATTAGAGACCACTGACTTGACTTTTCTTCAGAGAAAGGACTGCCCCTTCTTGGTCCTAGCAGTTTGTGTGCTGGCTTTTCTGCCTTGTCTTGCAGTATGAACTTCTTACCTTCAACTCCAAGGGCACCCAACCACCTGCCAGCCCCTCTCTGCATCCAGAGAAAGTTTTGGTCCTCAGCACCCACATGGTTGACTCAGTGGTTCCTGCTTGAAGGAGGACTGCACTCAACGCCCCTCATGAGTCTGAGAGCCCACCTGCTGCTCCTAGGCCCCACACACCAAGGGCCCTTCCTAACTACCTACTTCTCCCAGGACTAGCGGCCTAGGGGGAGGCGTGGGCTCTGCTGCTCAGGAAGGCTGGTGACTGGTGACCTCCTGGAGAGGTGGAGACATTCGGGACGGGAGGTGGGCAGCGTTTCAGATGGCGCTTCCTTCCGATTGTACAGGCCAGGTCCAGCTCTGCCTGCTGGGGGCCAGTGATTCTGCTGTAGAAGATGAGGGCCCTTCCGACTGAGGCCCCGCCCCAGTAGCCCCTGAGTCCCTCCTCCCACAGCCACCCAGCGCACGTCCCTGTTGCCCACTGCACTGATCATGAAGGCACTGGCCACTGCTGTGTGTGTTGCACACGTGCCACCATGCCCTCCTGACGGACACCCTAGGGAAGTCATCCAGCTGTTTCTCAGTCCCAGGGCTGGTGGTTGGGTTTGGATTTGTGTTGACTGTTGATACTTATTTACTGTATAAATATAATTTATCATTTGTATCATGATGTGGTTTCTGGCTGTGTCCTTTCCCTATTCCTGGCTTTACCCATCCAATATGACAAGATGGCAGGGCTGGCTAGGGAAGCAGCTTGGTCTACAGTCAGGCCACCACTCTTACCTAGTGTCTGAGTCTCGGGTCTGCTGTTGGTGGACATTGCCATGGCCTGTCTGAAGGCTGTGCTGGGCAGATGGTGGCCCAAGTCCATTGCCCAGGTGGCTTTCAATTCTGAGGACAGTCCTCAGTATGTTTTCGTGGTTTCCCATTCCCTCCTGTCTTAGGTTACTTTTGCTGTGATGAAATACCATGACTAAAAAGCAACTTGGGGGTTGAAAGGGTTTATTTATATGCTTCCACATTAAACGAGAAAAAGAAATAAAAAGGAAAGGAAGGGCATGACTACTCCTAGGTATGGTGGAGGAGAAAGTTTATTGTAGACATGTGGGAGAGCATAGTCAGAGGCAGGGACATCTGGTCCAGTCCAGAGTGAACATGACCAGCCTGAGCTAGGCCATGTGTGTGTGGGGGGGGAGATGGGAGAGAAGGGGACCGGGTACAGCAGCCAGGCGCCCAAAGGTACAAGAGGAGGAAGGTGAACAAAATGTCTGGATTATGTAGGGAAGAGCCTCTGGGGGAAGGGCAGCCCAGCTTCTGGGCTGGAGAGTTCAGGGTGGAGGGCGGGATATGCTGCTATCCACACCTGTAACAGGTAGGAACTGAGGGATGCTGAGAGAACCAGGGGGCCTGGTCTGCTTTGATATGTTAAATAGGCAGCTCAGCCTTTTGTCCTGGGTTTGAAGCTTACACACACCAAGGTTCACCAATCTCACCCCCACCCCCCAGAGTTTCCCTGTGTAGCCCTGGCCATCCCGGAACTCACTCTGTAGACCAGGCTGACCTCAAAAGCAATCAGACCCGCCTGCCTCACCTCCCAGGTGCTGCTGGGATTGCCCAGTTTACACTGCTCATCATTAAAGGAAGTCCTAGCAGGAACCTGGAGCCGGCAGGAGCTAATGCAGAGCTCATAGAGGAGTACTGATTACTGGCTTACTCGGCCTGCTTTCTTATAGAACCCAGGACTGTCAGCCCAAGGATAGCACTACCCATGATGAGCTGGGCCCTCCCACATCTATCACTAAGAAAACAGGCCTGCCCACAGCCTAACTTTATGGAGGTGTCTCCCCCCCTCCCCCAGTTGAGGCCCCCTCCTCATAAGAGTCTCTTGTGTTTAATTGACATAAAACCAGCCAGCACACTTCCTTTCACATCTCTGCCCCAGAAATGCTGTGTCATGAGAAGCTTCAGGCTGTCAGATGGGCACAGATCCTCTGTGTCCCGCATAGTAGGAAACAGGCTCGGTTAGCAGGTTACCGGTTATTGTTACCTCTGGGCACCAAGGCCTGTCTTACCTCTCAGACCAAGAGCTTGCATGGGTCCTTCCCGTGTTCAGCCAAGAATGTAGGGTTTATGAGGGCGGCCTTCTCCAATGCGGCAGGCTCCCAGCAGTGCAGGAGGGTGGGGACACCGCTGTTGATGAGTAGTGTGGGAGGTACCGACTCCAGCACTGAGGCCCTGTGAGGCCTTCCAGCACAGGAACAGGCCTGGGATGGCCTCGAGCTCTGCAGGTGGCCCGTCCTGTGAGCAGCTGGGAGCCAGTTTTCTGCCTGCACATGGATATTGCCAGCTGGGACTTGTTCTGGATTCTGTGGTGGTGTGCTGGCTGGTTTTGAATCAACTTGACACAAGCTAGAGTCATTGGGAGATGAGGGAGCCTCAGTTGAGAAAATGCCTCCATAGGATTGGGCTTTAGGGCAGGCCTGTAGGGACATTTTCTTTTGGTGATCAATGGGGACCACCTTTGTGGGTGACGCCATCACTGGGCTGTTGGTCCTGGGTGCTATAACAAAGCAGACTGAACAAGCCAGTAAGCAGCACCCTTCCATGACCTCTGCCTCCAGGATCCTGCCAAGACATCTTTCAGTGGTGGACTGTGATGTGGAATTCTAAGCCAATAAACCCTTTCTCCCAACTTGCCTTTGGCCATGGTGTTTATTACAGTGGTAGAAAAACCTGACAGGCTGCTTCCCTCAGAACCTTAGCGGGCTTTTAGCTCTTTGCTTTTGCCGTGGACACATACCGCTTCTCACTCACCCCCCACCTCCAAGACAGGGTCTCTCTGTGTAACAGCCCTGACTGTCCTGGAACTCACTCTGTAGACCAGGTTGGCCTTGAACTCAGATCCGCCTGCCTCTGCCTCCCAAGTGCTGGGATTGAAGGCGTGCGCCATTGTATCCAGCTTCTCATTTGTTCTTCACCACACGACTAGGCTTTTATGGTTTAATTTTCAGTCTTAGAATTTGAGTTTAGAGTCCTCTTACTAATCCTTTTTTTTTTTTAATTATTTTTACTGTGTATGGACATTTTGTTTGAATGTATGTCTACACTACGTGCATGTCTGCTACCCTTGGGGGCCAGAAGATGGCGTTGGATCTCAAATTGCAGTTACTGACATCTGTGAGCCACCAGGACCGAATCCTGGTTTTCTAGAAGAGCACCCAGTGCTCTCTGCTGTCTCCCCAGTCCCTTCCTAATCTTATGATGCTAACTTTTTAGCTTTCTTTGTTCCTGTTCATTTCTGCTTTTGTAAACTGGCCTGTTCTTTCCCAGACTTCACTTTTCTGGCATATCCCCCACACCCCCAGAGCTGTTGGTTTGGCCCAGAACCTGCCTGAGCTCTGCCAGTGGCTCTCAGCTGCCCACTGTGTGCTTGCACTCTTCCTGCCTGCCACCCTGGTGGTAGTCTGTGCCATACAGTAGTTTCTGGGTTTTAATCACGGCATAAATTCATTCCTTGTAAGAGTTTCTGGGTAAAGAGTCTGCAGGAATAAGTTCCCTGCCTTCCTTCTGTTCAGGGTAGAACACAATAAAATTCCCCCACAAAATGCCCAACAGGGCTGTCCTTGCAGCACCCCTCCTGGCTGGAATCTTGACACCAGATTGTTCCCTCATCATGCTCCTGCCTTCAGTGTGGGCCTTCAAGGGCTTCATGGACAAGAGCAAGGAGGGTTAACGGTCAGGCTTCCTATCTGGTGAACAGCCTCTTAGCATTTTGTAAGCTTACCAGTGGGACACGAGAGGCCCAGGAGATGGAGTCTAATGGATTGACCATGACAAAGTGAACAATCTGGTCAGCAACCATGACAGTGAGTGGAGGATAAACCTGGGTTTCATGTCTCTTAATAGTCACATGTCGCTGGGTGGTGATGGTGCACACCTTTAATTCTAGCTTTTGGGAGGAAACGGCAGGCAGATCTCGAGTTCAAGGCCAGCCTGGTCTACAGAGCAAGTTGCAGGACAGCCAGGGCTACACAGTGAAACTGTCTCGGGGAGGAAAAAAAACACAAAAAGGTCTTATGGCTGGCACCCTCTCACATTTCAGACATGCTCCAGTCATTGGCCTCCAAAGTTCTCCACTGGATGCTTTCTCATCTTGACTGGCAGGCATGCCAGAGGCTCTTAGGTGATGGTACCTTTCTGTGCCTTGATTGGGGTTGGGGTATGCATTCATTGAAACTGTTCATACAGCACAGATGTGTATGCATCTTGTTGGATGTAAATGTTCACTTGAAAGATGAATAGTACAGAACTCTGGCGAATGATACGCATGCTGCAGTCCACAGCAGGTAATATGCTAAGCACTGGGTGGACTAGAGGAGAAGAAAGATTTCACCAATGTGAAAATGCAAATAAAGTCTCTGTCCTTAAGTGTCCTGAGTGGTTAGAACCCCACCAGGGCACCAAAATGTGAGGACAAGCAAATGCCCTGTATAAATGGCGAAGTATTTGCATAGTGTTTACCCCATGTACTCCTGTACCTTACTTCATCTCTAGAGGACTAGTAATACCAAACACAATGAAAAGGATACATGATTGTTAGGCTCAAGGGATGGGGACAAGAAGAGTCTGCACATGTCTGTAAATGTTTGTGACCCTGGAACCTTGGTTTGTGGAACCTGCAGACAGAATCCTGCCTGCAGGAAAAATGTCCACAATTTGTAGATGGTTTGTCTGTTACTCATTGTAAAGTCACTTCAATTGTCCTGTGTTTAAATAGCTTCATAGTGTTGGCGAAAGGGACATTTTCACACAAGAGGCAGCCCACTGTGTCAAAGCTTTTGGCAGATGAACCCATGGTGTCTGAGGCCAGAGATGGACTGGAAAGAGACAGAGCTTCTGAGGTGGGAAAGGCCAGGTGGCATGGGTGTTGGGCAAAGGACCTGCAGTGAAGTAGGGTGAGATGCAGAGGGACATAAGGGGCTCCTGAACCAAGAGCTTGGTGAGCTCGAGGAAGGAAGAGACTGTTCCTTGTGAATGTGACATTGGGGAAAGAGTGCAGTGGTATGGCCTCTGGAAGGAAGCATCTCCAGGGGAAGGGGAGGCACTTGAGATGGGAGGTATGGGTGTGCTGATGGTCTAAAGATAGGGTGGGCGTGAGGGAGTAGCATGAGGAACACAGAGGAACTATGGGCAGAGTGAGGCACCCAGGATATGATGGTGAATGAAAAGATCACTATGGCGGGTGAGATTCTGTTGAGCTAGTATGAAGAAAGGAACACACAGAGGTGGAGTGTTTACAAATGACAGCCATGAGTGCTAATGGCAGAAAGGACTGGGGCTGCAGGAGGTCTTGGATGGCAAACAGAAGACCACATAAGGGAGGTACTGGTCTAAGAGGTGCTTGGGTGATGCAGTTGCTGCAACTGTGCATGGGGTGCAGATGTCAACATCACTGCAGGTGTGCAGGCCTGAAGAGGTTATCCACAGGAACAGCTGAAGACTGAGTGTCAAGAGCAAGCTCTCTGCTGATGCCAGCAATTGTGGTGTGGTTTGATGGCTTAGGCCTCAGAAAGCAGTCTGGAAGTGTCGATCGGCAAAGAAACAAACTGGAAAACTGATGTGGGCCCTCTAGGAGGAAAGGCTGGAGCTGCAAAGAGACAGGGCAGCTTCAGAAGGCAAGAGGAGCTTGCCATTCAGGGAATTTTGCTGACCGATCAAAAGTTCCAAAAGCCGGGGGGGGTGGGGGTGGGGTGTAAAAGGCAGCTTGGCCCAGGGATCTCTCAGAGTGTCCCAGTAGCTCAGGCATGTGCAGCAGTGTGGCTGGTGGTTTGAAGACTTGAAGGCCTTGGTCAGCTTGTCTGCTGGGCAGAGGAGGCTAGATGCAGCTGCCTCAGTCCACGCTAGGTCATGTGCCACCAACAACCATGCATGGGGAAACTGGCGGCCCAACTGCTCTCCCACAGATACCAGGGTGCTGGGCTGTGGGGCTTACCAGAAAGTTGCACTGTTGGCAAAGCCTCCTGCCTGCCGTGTTTCTTGCCTATCCTCAGGCTCCTAGCAGCACACTAGAGGTGTAGGGTGGGAATGGGGTAGGAATGGAAGCTGGAAGGCAGGTGCATCCCAGGACACTTCTTGCAGATTATGCTGACAATATGGTAGGCAGTCATACTAGTCAGCCACGAAGCAAGTGACTTTAACATCCTGATGTGGAAGAAGACAAGTTTTAGAGATGAGTACTGAGGACCTTGAAAGGGTCTCAGCTCTGAACAAGTTGGTTAGCAATCCTGGGGAGCCTAACTCCCCACTCCACTCCAGCCTGGCACCCTTCTGGGGCATGTCCTGGGAGGCTGAGCCCCAGGCCTGTTCCTGTTGGGGAGGTACTAACAAAGCAAGAAATCCAGGCCCCAGAATTTCTGAAAAAATGTGATGCTTTATTATAGAAAACTGTCTTCAGCTCTCCACTTCCCAGCCGGGCTGCTTGAGTCCTTGATTGTGTGTGGGCTGTGAGGCACCTGGGCCATAGTGGTGGCGGAAAGGCTGATGCTTTCATTGTAGGTTACTCTGTGACAGGCTGGGACCCAGGACTCCTTGTGTGTCCACAGGCCCAGTGTCATAGCCCAGCTTCTTCATGTCCTTGGTCACCACATTGAAGAGGAGGGTGACAAAGCCCTGAGAGCGGACACGGGTCACTGGAGACATGAGGTGAGCATTAGGGGAGGTTTGTCAGGGACAGACACAGCAAACCACCTGCTGAAGCCTGTGTAGGTGGTGTTCTAGAAAATTCTTTGGGTGGCTTGTAGATCACCAAGTCCCAGATGTCTGGCAGCTCCCTAGCCTCCACCCATCTGTTTGCTGGGCTCCTGGGGGTTGGGGGCCCACCTCTTCCCTTCAACTGGGGTTGGGAGTATCAGCTTTACCTTCCCGGCCTTCACCCTGGGCCACCACCTTGGGGTCTGTGTACTCAGGCCGCCGTCCCATGAACCAGCTGAGGACATAGGAAAACACCAGTGAGGAGCACTCCTCCTGCTATCCCTCCTCCTGTCTGTCTGATAGGCCAGGTAAGGTGCCGGAGATGTCCCGTCTGGGTCTGTGGCCAACAGTCCCAGCAGCTGCCAGGTGCTCCAAGCCGTGTCCAGCCAAGGCTTTTGTGGGTTTGTATCACCAAGTACAACCTGAACCCATGGAAACCACCCCTCACCCTCACCCCAAGGAACAGATGGGTCAGGAGAAGAGAAGCAAGAAGGCAATGTGACCTTTAAGCCGCCTCAGGAGGGAGAACCCAAATTCAAGTGCCAGATTCAGCTCCCCAAACTTTGCCTCCTTGGTATGGGATCCAAAACAAGCCACACCCTGTCACTGAACCTGTTTGTCTACTGTAAAAGGTAATAGCACCTACCTCATGGGACTATATGAAGAAGGTACCCTGCCAGCTGCCACATAACATTACCCTTTCTAAGGAGACTCTGGCCCTGCAAGGCTCTGGGTAACAGGTCATCTGACTTTTAAAGTCTCACCTAGCTAAGGGTACTGTTCAGCCCCCAGGCTCTGGCTGGCAAACTCAGAAGCACTTCCTACAAATGTCCTGTGACTTATAGGCCACAATCGCACGGCACCCTAACTTCAGATCTTGGGCTCCACCCAGGGCTCTAAGGCACATGGACAGGATGTACAGGCCCAGCCAGCATCTCGCTGGAAACCATAGGCTTGGGGCAGACAGGATTAGCCTAAGCACAGAACCCAGGACCAACTCGGACTTTGTGGAACAACTCCATCAGCATTCCTATTTGCCTGCAGCGGTGGGACTTTGTCTTTTCCCTGGGCAGTTTGTGGCAGGCTCAAAAGGTAACGATAACTACACATCCACCACCCATAACTATGCTGAGGGCATGACTGGATCCTTGGGCTCCCAGGCTAGACCTCAGCTGCCCCATTGGACTGCTGGGCAGGAGGTCCTGAGGGAACAACCATGAGGAGTGCTGTTCAGACAACCTAAGGTGGGGGATAGGGAAACCAGGGTCCCCGCAGTTGTGCATTCCAAAAGAAACTGGACGTGTGTGTGTGTGTGTGTGTGTGTGTGTGTGTGTGTGTGTGTGTGCACCTGTGCCTCTTCCTGTCTCCCCATCATAGAGCAAAGCTCTGGCTGTATTCACCTCAGCACTGAGGCGTCTCAGAGAGTGAGGCCTGGCAGTAAAGGCACCCTCAGCATGCCTCCAGCTGTCTTCTAATCGACAGGTGGTTTTCTCATGAGAAGAGACAGGCAAGTTCGGGGAGCGTGCTCCAGGCAAGGGCTGACGCAGGGCAGAACCTGTGGGCTCAGAAAGCCAAGGCCAGGCAAATGGGAAGCGAGAAAGAGGCCACTGGCACCCTGGCTCCTAGATGCAAGAGGGTGTGCCAGGCAGCTCCCAGCAGCGACACCACCCTAAGGGCTCTGCAAAGACTAAGGTGGAGAGGCCACAACGGGTCGAGTAACAGCTCTAGGGATACTGGGTAAGGACTGACGACACCGAGAACGTGGCTATCTGTGAAGAGGGTCTATGGAGGAGGTACCAGGATGCTGCAAAGTGGGAATTATCCTGGGTCATCCAGGTATGCATAGGCAAGGTGCAGTCAGCGCTAAGTCTGTCCTACAGCCCAGAACCTTTCTTCAGCCCTCTCAAAACTGGGGTCCAGGCTCCCTTCTCCACATCCTCTCTACCTGATACTAGCTTGCAAGGGGATGCTCATTGGCTGCTCCCTGGGAACCTAGGGGCCCTTCACTTCCCTTTCATCCCTGTCAACATGCTGGGGAGCAGAGGTGGCATGCAGCTAAGCTGGGCTAGCAGATCCCTCCAACTCCTATTTGGATGTGGCAGAGACCTCCCCTTTGGGCCATCTCCAAGATTTCTGTCCTGTCCTCTGGGACCTTCTCACTGCCTCCTCCCTACACCCCTGCCCCCCAACTCTCTTCACACTTGCTGGCAGCAGCATCTTTCTGGCTGCTCCTAACTCATGTTTTCCTCAAGAGAGCAAGAGCTCTTAGTGCCTGGTGTGTAGAACATGCTCCCAAGATGCTTCACGGCTGCTGCTTGACTCCCCGAGGTACCATGTGGAAAGCATTTAGTACATGCTCATAATATTGGGTCACTGTGGCTGTCATAAGGAGTTTGCCTCTTGCTGCTGCAGCCAGACAAACAGCGTTTCCATGTGACAGGCTCAAAGGGCACAGCAGAAAGCCTCGCAGACTTAAGCTGCCAGAAAGTGGTCCAAGGAAGCCCGAGGACTCAGCAGTGTTCCTGTCTGCATACCTGTTTCCAGCTGTCTCTAGGTGCAGCCACGTGAAGACCTGTGTGGTTCCCAGGTCTCGGGAGGGTGGGAGGTGCTGGCCTGTTAGTTACCCATTAGATCAGGAGGCAGCAAGGCTGCAGACAGAAGGACCCACCTTGTGAACTTCTGCAGCGTAGATGTGGACTCCGGCACAAACATGGGGATGGTCCTCTTGTGCCTGAAACAAACGTTTTTCACACAGAGATGTACTGAGGAACAGTACTGGCCCTGTGGAAACCTTTACAGGCCAGGGTGCAAACCTGTACAGATGAAGGTGTGGCTTTTCTGTCTACACCCACTTCCATTCCTCTCCAGGAGCATGAGTCTCTTACGTAGGTGTGTCTCTTCCAAGGTGCAGACTATACCCAGGTCACCCTGGGCCCTGAATATATTTGCCCACGTCCAAGGAAGGAGCAATGGCCAGAAAGCCTGCTGTCTAAAAGTGCTGTCCCCAGGGTTTGCCTACCTCGTAAGAGGCAGACCGCAGGCCAGAGACTGGGTCAGAGTGGGCACCTACCGTCCAGGAGAGAAGGGTACATGCACCGCTCCGTAGCCTCGGACCACATCGTTCCCAAACACGTCTGGTCCATACACACTGAGCACGATCTGTGGCCCTTTGAAGGACAAGGTTGGCATGTGGGGAAAGAAGGGATGGTGTGCAGTACATGGTGTGCCCAGCTGAGGTCTGGAGCAGGGACTCACAGGATGATGGCCGAAGCCCTGGGAATCCTGTCCACACCAGGGTTTCTGTCCCCTGTTGGTACCCTGGGAGTGCTCTCCATACCTCTGCTCTAGCTGGAGAGACAGAGCCAAGACATTTAGTAGACACAGGAAGTCCTTTGGAGGCTCTGTGCCAACCTGGGCCCCTGCTTTCTTCTTCTCTGGTGGATATGGTCTCTCTAATCTATGACACCCTGTGGGAGGGGCCTGTCCTGAGGGTTCTGAGAGCAGTCAGGAAAATCATGGCCTTCCAGGTATTTTTCCTTAACATACTGATGTTTGCATATGCTTCCAGATCACATCCAGTCAGGCCCGCCAGGCCTCCACCTCCTTAGTGTCTGACCTCTGGGTGTGACTGACAGATCTACTACTGTCTGCTGCAACTCCAGATGACAGGTGAGGCCTGGAAGCTGGCTCTGTGGTTACTGCTGAATGGCCTCAGTCAAGTTTCTCAACATTTTTGCCCTCAGCTTTCTTGTGTCTAAAAGCATTGGAATAGTACCAAACACAAGAGGTGCTCAGTAAAGGTTAATGAAATCTGCCCTTCCCACTACTACTCTGCCACCAAAAGCAACCTGTGAGTCATTCAGATAGTTCCTATATGGTGGTTTGTTCAATCTCAACACTACCTGATCACTACAGATCACTCACATAGAGGCTCTTGACACACGTGTACTCACCTCTGAGCACACTCGTGTGTGTGTGTGTGTGTGTGTGTGTGTGTGTGTGTGTGTGTGTGTGTGTGCGCTCAGGAAGGACTCACACAGACAGGCAGGTCTCTGTTCAGTTCTACAGCCCTACATTACACTCCTCTGCACGGGTGCTTCCCCAGTAGTGCTCTCTGAACTGCCACCACACTCCACACTTGCCAACCTTGGCAGACCAGGGTCAGCCTGGCCTGGCCACCCTCTGCGGCTTTGCTAGCTTTGCGAGGGCTCAGAATTAGAAGGGTGGCTGTGGGATGAGGGGAAGGCTTTGTACAGAGCATGAACAAAGGCTCAGAAGGTCCCAAGCAACCGGCACAGGATGAGCAGGTGCTGCAGCTGACTGCAGCACTATGCAGTGGGAAGTTGAGCAGCTCGGGGTCAGACCCTCCAGCCAGGTGGCTGCAGCCCTGCACACCAGCTTCTGTGTGCAGATGGCGGTCAACAGAACAGGCAGATGCTGAGCACGTCAAAGGCTGGGGCAAACACCAAGACACTGGCAGTGTCCCTCTGAAGAAGGAGAGTGGGGGAGGTGCAGCAGCGGATCCCCCCTCCCATCATGGCCCGCAGACTCACAGCCATAGGGGTTGGTACTTTTAAAGGTGACATCGATGGGGAAGTTCCACACCAGTGCTTGTCGTACATCTTGGCTCTTGGATGCTATCTGTGAGATGCCCTCCTCCAGACCCTGTATAGACAGAGACAGCTGGTCTGAGCTCCAGGTACTCATGCCCCTTCCACTTACGTGGGCAGGTTAGGAAGGCCATTTGAGTTCTTTCCGTGTGGCTTGTACCCACCCTTCTTTTACTAACTTTTTTTTTCTTTTTGGTTTTTTGAGACAGGGTTTCTCTGTGTAGTTTTGGAGACTGTCCTGGAACTCACTTGGTAGCCCAGGCTGGCCTCGAACTCACAGAGATCCGCCTACCTCTGCCTCCCAAGCGCTGGGATTAAAGGCGTGCGCCACCGCCGCCCAGCCCCACCCTTCTTTTAGGTATTTACCCCAAAGTGCCTTGGTCTAGACTCCGCCCTCCCATTATCTGTGTACTCCTGATGCCCTGCCCTCCTCAGTCCACCCATCTTTGATGACAGACTAGAGCATGTCCGACTCACTGTGTTGGTCTCTGCTCTACGGAGGTGGGGACTTCTGTCAGGCATTGGTCACTCCCAGAGGACTCCGTAATAATTATTAAGACATGAAAGTGCTGACTCAGGGGGTAAAGGCACTTGCTGCACAAGCCTGACAACCCAAGTTCCATCCCCAGAACCGTCAAAAATCAAACAGATGAACAACCCTGGTGTGGTGGTGTGAGCGGGGAGGCGGAGACAGCAGAATGTCAGATGCTCTTGGACTGTGGAGCTTGGAGTATGAAACACAGCAGCAAGGAAAAGACAGTCTCTGCCTTATAACAAGATGGGGGGGGGGGGTGAGAACCAGCTCCAGAAAAGGTGTCCGCTGTCCCCAACATATCTAGCATGTGTGTGCATGTACTTGTACACACAAAATAAAATCATTTTAAAAATTCATTTCATAGCCGGGCGGTTGTGGCACATGCCTTTAATCCCAGCACTTGGGAAGTAGAGGCAGAGACAGTTGGAACTGCATGAGTTTGAGGCCAGCCTGGTCTACAGAGCAAGTTCCAGGACAATCAGAGCTACACAAAGAAACCCTGTCTCAACGCCACCCTCCCCCCTTTTCATTTTATTGTGTTTTGCCTGCATGCATGTCTGTGTACTATATGTGTGCCTGGTGTCTATGGAGGCCAGAAGAGGGCATCAGATCCCCTGGGACTGGAGTTACAGATGGTTGTGAGCCACCGTTTGTGTGCTGGGTGTCATTGGGGTCATCTGCAAGAGTATGCAGTCAACTGCTTAGTCATCTCTCTGGCCCCAAGGGTAGCTCACAACCACCTGTAACTCCAGCTCCAGGGGATCTGACCTCTGGCCTTCACAGTCACTTGCATTCACAGCCATACAGAGATACACATCCACATAATTTAAAATAAATCCCTAATAAATAGAGGCATCTTTTAAAAAATATAAATATCATAAGAGAAAAAAGAAAAAAGTATTAACATGTCTGTGCTACTCAGAAGAAACTCAGGCTCAAAGAAGTTGGGCTTCTATGTTACTTATTTTTTTCCATTTGTTTGGGTCTTATATATGTAGCCCAGGTTAACCTTGAACTCCCAGAGATGCTCCTGCCTCAGCCTTCTGTGCTGAATTACAGGCATATGTCACCATGTTTGGCTAGCTTTCACTTTTTAAACTGCTGTGAGGTTTAAGTATGTGAGGTGCTAACAAAGCATGGTGTGGTGGTGCTCTGTACCACAGCCCCTTCCCGTGGTGAAAGACTGCCCTCCAAACCTTGACAGGAGATCCTTCATTTTGTCCTGGCTTCTGGGTGTTCTCCACTGTCTGAGGAAAGGCCAGATTTTGGGGGGCGGGGGTAGGGGTTACTGGCTGATGGTGTTTACAGCCACTGGCGGGCAGTTTTCCAGGACTGCCAGCTTATGCTGCCACTTGTCCCTCTTGGCTGCCACCAACACACACTCCAGGGATGCATCAGTGAACCCAGTGGTGGCTGTATTCTGTAGCTTTACCAGGAGCAAACTCATGTTTGGGTCCTCTCTGACCTTAGGGTCCACCTCTTGGGTCTGGAATAGAAGGCTATGACAGGTACCTCAGGAATCACTAAAGCTCTAAGCAGGGGAGGCCCACGGGTCAAACTCACCGCTGTGGGGGCCCAGTCCTGGCCGTACACGAAGCAGTACTTGCAGTAGAGGTCGTCATATTCTGGAAACTGAGAGAAAAGCATGCAGGATTCGGTTTAGGGAACGCAAACTGAGCCCACACATGAGCTAGGCAGGTGCAGTGGGTAGGAATTAGGAACATGAGGCACCTGGGATGGAGGGCATGAATTTCAGCAGGGGCAGGGGACAGAAATGAGGAAGTCGGGGTTAGTCCCAGACTGCCAATGCTTATAGGCTGTTTTGCTCAGGGTCTGCTTTCTGTCTGTCTTTCTCAGTCCATCGTCTGGCAAACCCCTTGCTCATCCTTCAGAATTCACCGTCGGGGAGCCTGTTCTTAACTCCTTAGCTGGTTAAGGATCACTGCTTGCCTCCTTTCACCCTCTGCATTCCCACATCCGGGTACTCAATGTTTACGTCTGACAACCCTGTGTGACTGAGGAAGGAACAGGTTTTATGCCTCTGTGTGTCCCCAGTGCTGGGCACAAATTAGATCTACAGGAAACATGCTGACGCGAAACCCAGGAAGCTACAGTTCTATGGTTAGAACTGAGAGCCTGGGAGAAGGGAGGACCCAGAGCAGAAACCGAAGGGAGGTGGCTAGAGTACTCAGCCCAGCTGGGCATCCTTCTGTTGGATAAAGAAAAACGGGAGAGCCGGGCGGTGGTGGCGCACGCCTTTAATCCCAGCACTCAGGAGGCAGAGCCAGGCGGATCTCTGTGAGTTCGAGGCCAGCCTGGGCTACCAAGTGAGTTCCAGGAAAGGCACAAAGCTACACAGAGAAACCCTGTCTCGAAAAACCAAAAAAAAAAAAAAAAAAAAAACGGGAGGACGTAGTACCTGATGAATCAGGAAGGCAGGAACACCTACGGAACCTCGGGCCTGGCAGAACGTAAACCATCTAGCCAAACCTCAGAATAAGTAAGAATACGAGTATTTTCAACAAGCAGCCCAGAAAAATAATGGTGGCAAAGTTCTGACTATTTGTCAGGTAGATCTGGGTTCGAATCCCACTTGGCCACTGCCTTCTGGTAAGTTTTCCTCGCTGTTAAGTAGATAAGCTGAGCCTTCCTTCACTCCGATTAGTCCCAGCCCATCACTCCACCAAGTAGACAGGATCCAAGCTGGAGGCCATAGTGTGACTTTGGTACCATCTCAAAGGTCTGTTTTCATGCCTGCTTGTCCGGGCCCAGCAACCTGGCGCCAAGGTTTTCAAACGCTGATTCTCCTTTCCAACTAATTGAGAGGCTCAGAGCAATGGCTTGGCTCTCTGGGAGCTGAGGGAGGAATCTGGGGAGGGGAACGGGCCGGCCCTGGGCAGGGTCCACGGCAGCTCACCTGGGCGCTCTCTACCTGCCCGTTGACCATGAGCAGGAAGACGCTGGGACTCGCTGCAGCCATCCTACGCACCGCTGGGCCGGGAGACCCGCGCAGGCCGCGCGCCCTGCCGTTGCCAGGAGACTCCCGGGTTGCCTTGGAAACAGATGGCAAGCCATCTGGGACAAATTTCTCAGCGGTGCCGATTTCGTTCAAGAACTAGAGTGCGCAGGCGCAGTATTCTTGGAGGCCATAAAGACGGTCTTCTGTTCCAGTCGTGTGAAATTAACCTCCAAGGTTGGATCCTCAGACCCGCGGTAACTGTAACTACACTAGCCTGGCCATGTTTGAAGAGAACTGGGTGATGAGAAGCCGCTGCCGGACTCAGACCCGCGGAAAGTCACGTGCTAGAGTTACCTCTGGCCAGAAGGTGTCGCTGTGGCCGCACGAGGCGGCGGCGGTCGGAGGGCCGGAGGCACTGAGTGGTCCAGCAGGCATCGCTTTGCGCCCTGCCCCAGGTGAAGGGTATGCCCTTCAGGTCTTTGAGGCTCTTGTCCTTGAAACCCCTAGAATCCTCCAGTCCAAGCTCCCGCCCCATGTGAAACTAGGGCCCACGGAGAGGCAGCGATCCACGTACCTGTCACCCATTTTTGGAGAATCACTGGCTGCTCAGGGTCCCAAGCTGGGTCCCAAGCCACCAACCAGCATCCTACCCAGTAGACGCAGCTGTCATCCCTTGGCTCCAACCGGACTCTCATCACTGTCCAATCCAAGGTGGCTTAATGCTAGCCTCTGCCTCTAGATCCCCAAGTGCCTGGCCTTATTGGCAAGGCCATGGTAAACACTTGGGAACTACGTCTTGAATGAATAATTGAATGTATCTCCGTTTCTGGAGGAAGAAACTGAAATTCAGACCCAGGGGGGTAATTTGGCCATATTCATTGCAGTAATTTAGGCTTCACATGCAGAATTTCACAAGGAAACATTAGAGACTACATTAAGTATTGGAGAGCCTGGACACAAAGGTGTACACTTGAGGGAGCTCAGTCTGTGGAGTCCAGGTCATCACATCAGCTGCCAACTGGGAAGTCAGTCGAGTGTTCCCACAGCCACTTGTGTGGAAGAGGGAAGCTGTGCGGTCATAGCCTCCCAGGTGGGCCAGTGTACTATATATATTACATTATATTATATATATATATATAATGTAATATATATATATTACATTATATATATATAATATGTATATACCTTTAACGTAGAGCCAAGTCACATAAGCAGAGCCTCTAGGCACCGCTCCCCTAGGTAGTGGCTGCCACTTGCTGGTCTCAACTGGAAGAGTTGGAACGTTACAACTTGATTGAGCCATGATCTGAGAAGGGGCACTCTTAAACCCTGAATTATTCATTAGTTAAGGCTTTTGCGTTCTAAACCAAAAGGATGAGAAATCTGAGGCTAGTTTTTGTCGACTTTGCACAAGTTATAGTCGTCTGAGAGGAGGGAACCTCTATTGAGAAAATGCCTCCATAAGATCTGGCTGTAGGCAAGCCTGTCCAGCATTTTCTGAACTAGTGATTGATGGGGGAGGGCCCAGCCCATTGTGGGTGGGACCACTGCTGCCGGTGATTCTGAGTGATACAAGAAAGAAGACTGAGTAAGTCTGAGGAGCAAGCCAGTAAGCAGAACTTCTCCGTGGCCTCCGCAACAGCTCCTACTTCCAGATTCTTGCCCTGTTTGAGTTCCTGTCTTGACTTCCTTTGATGATGAACCATGATATGGAAGTGTAAGCCAAATAAACTCTTTCTTCCTTAACTTGTCTGGTCATGGTGTTTCATCACAGCAGTAAAAACCCTAACTAAGACAAGTTGGTACCAGTTAGTGGGGGTATTGCTGTGACTGACATGACTGTGTTATTTTGGGGAGGATTGTGGAAGGACCTTGGAACTTGGGCTAGAAAAGCCATTGAGTGTTGAGAGGTCAGTGAGCTGTTCTGTAGGAATTTGGTGGTAGATAAGAATGTTGAGAGCACTGGGCAGTGGTGGCGCATGCCTTTACTTTAGTCTCAGCACTCAGGAGGCAGAGGCAGGTGAATATCTGAGTTGGATGCTAGCCTGGTCTACAGAGTGAGTTCCAAGACAGCCAGGCTACACAAAGAAACCCTGTCTTGAAAAACAACAAACAAACAAAGAATGTTGAGAGCAGTACAGATGATGAAGGCCTGACTTGTGAAGTTTCAGAGGGAAGTAAAGACTCTAACAGACCTTTTGTGTGAAGAATCTGTGGTGTCTGGTCAGCTGAAGCTGAAGAATCAGCTCTGATTAACAGGGGTCCAGAACCACTAAGGTAAAACTTTTGCTTTGCTGCAACAATGGATGCTGGTCAGCAGGGGCTGAAGAATCAGCTGTGATTGAGACCAGCATCGTTGAGGTGGAATCTTCTGGGAAGTGTTTCCTGTGTTCCAGAGGTGGCCAAGGTTGTACCTTGTGCTGGCAGCCGAACTTGGTAGTGTAAGAGTCACCTGGATGGTGCTAGTTTTTTTGTTTTGTTTTGTTTGTTTGTTTTTGCTTTATATGCATTGGTGTTTTGCCTGCATGTATCCCAGATCTTGGAATTACAGACAGCTATGAACTGCCACATGGGTGCTGGGAACCGAACCTGGGTCCTCTAGAAGAGCAGTCAGTACTCTTAACCACTGAGCCATGTCTCCAGCCCTGGTGCTAGTTTTGAAGGTAAGAAGGGGTCCTGGAAAGCAGCTGAGGCTTGACACTTGGAGCTATGGCAAGGCTGAAGTCCCTAAAGGGATCCAGGGGAGGCTATTGGTGAAAGTGCAGCCCGGCTGCAGCAAGGACCCCAGCAAATTTGGCTCCTCTCCAGTGCTGAGCTGTCCTTGGTGGTCATCCCATGGTATTGGCATCCCCAGATGTGTCTGGGTCAACAGTGATCAGCTGGAGACAGGACAGGTAGAGGGACATGGGGAAAGGATGTGCCTCAGGGTTCTGTCATCATTCTTGAGAAAGGAAGGCTGAGAAGAGGAAGACAGTGAGAAGCTGTCACCATGATGACCCTTGCTGTCTTGTTCCTCACAGATTTGGGTCCTGAGGACAGACAACAGACACATCCCTCCATCCCCACACCCAGGGCAAGCAAGACCAGCCTCAGGGATGTTCTGGGGTGGAGGATATCAGCCTCAGAGCCAACTACAGAGGCCTGTAGTCCTCCTCTGGTATAGCTGTGACTTGTGCTCTAAAGGTGGAGTCTTCAAGGAGTGGGCACAGCATGAGGTAATAAATGGTGGCATGTAGTGGGTAGCCATTCCAGCTTTGATCTGGAATTTTTGTTTTTGTGTTTGCGGGGGTGGGTCTCTGTCCTGCATATGCTCAGCAGGACTGAGTGCTATCTTATAAAAAGGGAAATTTAGCACACGGTTTTGAAGGTCTTGAGAAGTGAGTTAGTTGTCTTGAAGATGGAAGCTGTGAAAGATTGAGTCTGGCCCCTGAATCACTGGCCACTGTGCCATGTGGCCACTTGTAAACGTGCTCCTGTCGTGATGCCATCCTCATGACATGATGAAGCTAGAGGCCTTAACCGACAGGGTCAACTATTGGTAACTTCCAGTCCCAATGTGGTGACTACATTAAACTCTGCTCTGTATAAAATGCCAGTCTTGGAGCTGGAGAGATGGCTCAGTGGTTAAGAAGAGCATTGGCTGCTCTTCCAGAGGACCTGGGTTCAATTCCCAGCATGCATATGCAGCTTACAACTGTCTGTAACTCCAGTTCCAGGGGATCCGGCACTGTCATACAGATGTATATGCAGGCAAAACAGCAGTCAATGTATCTAAAATAAAATGAATAAACCATTAAAATAATGAAGTGCCAGTCTCAGTATGATACAGGTCCCACATATACAACACCAAGCGAGGTGATGATACATGTCCACAACTGCCACCAGGTCTTCAGTGGGTCTCACCGTGCACAGTGCTAGAAACAAGATGAATCCTTTAGCTATGTCTTCATTCTTCTGGCCACCCAGACCACTGGAAGCTGGGGCAGCCACTTTATATATGCTGCTGTTCTTGAACCAAAATATACTCCCCTGCTGGCCTCAGGGCTAACTCCTATCCTGCAGGGAGGCTGAAGGTGGCTCTACGAATAAGCCTCCATCAAGCCACATTGCCTTGGTGCAGACCCTGGGCAGCAGCCCCAGAGCCTCCACCCATCACCCTCCCACCAAGCTGGCCACAGGGTCCACTATGGACTCACACATGGAATTTTATAAGCGCAGCTTTTGCCTCCCTGAGAACCTGCTACCCACCCGATCCCCTGAATGTAAGATGCTTTGGGCCCAAATCACTCTTTCAGTGCAGAGGAGGGCAGGTTGTTATGGCCACCATGCTGGGGTGAAGACAGCTCTTCAAGCAAAAGCACTTGGGGAAGAGTGTGTATGCTGTGGAATATTACTTTAACTGGGCAAAGATGTTACATTTGCTTATGCTGCATTTGTTTAACGATGTAAAGATGTGTTTCTTTGCCTGCCTAAGACACCTGAGTGGTCTAATAAAAAGCTCAACAGCCAATAGCTAGGCAGTAGAGGGACAGGCGGGGCTGGCAGGCAGAGAGAATAAGCAGGAGGAAGAATCGAGGTTTGAGGGGAGAGAATGAGGGAGACGCCCAGGGTCAGCCAGCCAGGCAGCCACCAGCCAGACAGACACAGAGGAAGCAGCAAAGTAGGACATACAGAATGAAAGAAAGATAAAACGCCCCGAGGCAAAACACAGATGAAGAGAAACAGGTTAAGTTATAAGAGCTAGTGGGACAGGCATAAGATAAGGCTGAACATTTATAATTAATAATGTCTCCATGTCATGGTTTGGGGGCTGGCTGGCAGCCCAATAGAAAGCCTGCTATAGGTGTATGTGTATGGGTCCATGTGTTCTATGTATGGAGTCATCTTTGGGGAGCTGTAGGTCCCCATCTTAGGTACCCATGTAGGTCCTAGAAGTTTGTGTGTCTGTGTGCAGTCCCTGTGTGCATTTATGCACATCTGTTTATAAAAATCCTAGTTTGTGAATGTAAATGTACACCGGGTGATGCCTGCCTATGTGAAGGTGTGTGTTCCCGTGCGAGTGAAATCTGTGTACTAGGGGCATCCCTGTTGGAGTATAAGCAAGTAGATCTGTGAACACATGGTTGGGGTGTGCAGTGTGTTACAATGTGGCTGCTTGTGGCCTGACACTAGTGGGGAATCAAGGAGCAGTGTGTGTGTGTGTGTGTGTGTGTGTGTGTGTGTGTGTGTGTGTGTGTGTGTGCGTGTGTGTTGCTGATCAGTACTACTGCATACACACTTCTGGTTCTACTGCTTGTCACCCAGCTCACACAGGGCTCTGGGCTAAAAGAGGCCTCTGCCCTCACACCAAAAGCACCCCTCAGGGAAGATGAGCAATTTAGTCTATACTGGAGAGACCAGGCACCTGAGAGGGAGATCAGCTCCCCTGCCCACCCCAGTCTGCCAGGCTGCAAGCCTCCTCGGAAGCCTAATCTTTGTTTTGAACACCTGGGTGCCTCCTACCCATGTTCTTGGCTCACAGATCTCTTTGATCCGTTTGTTTGTGAGTTACCCACTCAGTGTCTGTTCTTGGCTGTTTCCTGCTGTGTCCTGAGCAAAGTTTCTAAGGACTTGGTTTCTGAGCCCACCTTGAGAGAAAGGAGACCCTCTTTCCTTGGTGAGGTGAGATAAACATCTGTCCACCCACACACGACACTGATGACAGGCAATGCAGCAATTCTTCCCAAGCCTAGCTTGGGGAACAACTGAGCTTGTTGGCCTTACAGGGGCATGGGTGTGAGGGTCCCTACAGGAGTGTGGGTGACCCAAAACAGCTGGACCACTGTAAGGTCCCAGCCCGCCATGAACCTTGTGGAAGCTGCATTAGAGAGTTTTTCTTTGACTTCCTGTATACTCCCACATCCCTCAAGATAACTTGCCGCTAGGGGTGGGGCAGGAGAGGGGAGCGCTGGCCTCCCAGGTGCACACAGTGATTCTCCTCCCCTGTCCTTTTATTGGGACTGTCAACAGCTCTGTTACTGTTCCTGCTGACCAAACTATTGTTCTTATTTCAATGTCGTGATGCCGGGCCGAGGTTACCTCTACTCCAGGTGAGGATGGGATGGCCGTGTTATAGGAGGGAGAAAGAGGCCATGCTTCAGCAGGTCATGTGACACAATTCTGAGATCTGCTCAGAGCTCCCAAGAAGGCATTTGCGCGTGATGACAGAGGTGGTGCTCGGCTCCTTGCACCTGTATTCTGTCAGAAGTGTGAATGGGATGATGGCGAACGCGGCAGCCATGAGTTCAGACAGGCAGAATGGACGGCGACAGTCAAGTGGAAGACAGCCTCAGTCCCGACAAGCTCTGTTGAGTGTGTTAGAGTTCTGAGGCAGGGTAAAGAGACAGAACCGCTGATTTCAAAGTGTTGGACACTCTCCCAAGGGAAAAGGATGCCTGCAGGGGAAGAACGCTGGCTGGGATGGGACCCTTTACAGGGGCTAGGTGAAGGGCTCGGGAATGGGGAAATGGCTGCAGTCTCCCCTTCTCAAAACTGTTTGCCCATCGTGAGACAGACTGTCCCACAGATACTCCTTTCTGGGCTGACTGATGATGCCTGGGCAAGGCCATTGTGATCTCACAGGATCCTGGGCTGACTGATGATGTCTGGGTGAGGCCATTGTGATCTCACAGGATCCTGGGCTGACTGATGCCTGAGCAAGGCCATTGTGATCTCACAGGATCCTGGGCTGACTGATGATGTCTGGGTGAGGCCATTGTGATCTCACAGGATCCTGGGCTGATGCCTGAGCAAGGCTATTGTGATCTCACAGGATCCTGGGCTGACTGATGATGCCTGGGCGAGGTCATTGTGATCTCACAGGATCCTGGGCTGACTGATGATGCCTGGGCGAGGTCATTGTGATCTCACAGGATCCTGGGCTGACTGATGATGCCTGGGCGAGGTCATTGTGATCTCACAGGATCCTGGGCTGACTGATGATGCCTGGGCGAGGTCATTGTGATCTCACAGGATCCTGTTTTATAACTGAGGCACTCTACCAGAGCAGCTGGGTCAGCAAAGTCCTTCACCTTTTTTTTTCTTTATATATTTCATTGAAATTACTTATTTTTGTGTATGTGTATATGAGTACAGACATATGTATATCACATGTGGAAATCAGAGAGTGACTCTTGGAAATGGGTTCTCTCTTGCCACCTTATGGGACCAGAGGACAGAATTCAGGTTGTCAGGCCTATGGGCAAGCCCCTCTACTGCTGAGCCATGCCATCATCAGTCTTGGGTCTGTCTGTCTGTCTGTCTCTCTTATCTCTCTCCCCTTTTGTTTGTGTTTTGTTTTATTTGTTTTGTGTTTATTTATTTGAGATAGGGTCTCATTATGTAGCTGGAACTTGCTATGGAGGCAGACTGGCCTGAGACTTAAGAGGTCTGCCTCTGCCTCCTGAGTACTGGAAGGCATGTGACATCATGTTTGGCCCGGTCTTGAACTTCTTATGATGATCTTCCAATCTAGTGCGTGAGTCATGGTTGGTGGGGTCCTGTTACTTGCAGCCAGATGCAGGGCTAGGAGAACTGCACTCTTGGAAAGCCCCTCCCTCCCTTACACCATCAATGAGGTCTGCACCCCTACTCTCCAGCATTTGCATGGTTAGCAGCAAGGCCCTTGTTTGGATTGCAGCTGGAGTCAGAACTTAGACCAAGTCCCCATTTCAGTCTTGAGTGATTCTTTCCCATAGGACAGGAAACAGGACATTTATGTAGCTAGTAAGAGCAAAGGGACGGGCCAAGAGCACCAGCTAAAAGGCTTACAGTTCAGGCCTTGCCTGTATGGCGGGGTCATGGTAGGGGTTGGTTCTTTTGGTCCTAAACTCTCCTCTCTAACCTGTTGTGAACTCAAGTTCCTAGAAAAGAAGCCACACCTGTATAAAGGTTCTACATGCTGGCTGATTGGTTAGAATGCCTGTGCCTATAGAGAGCTGGAAGGTGGGGCCTGAGCCAAGTTATCTCCGGCTAGCTTTGAATCTTACCAGCCACTCATGGTCCAGCTGTGTGACCTAACATCCATCCTTCTATCGGGGACATCCACCAACCCAAAGGTTAAGAGTGTTATCAGATGACACCTGAAGTCTACAGCCTTTCGCAGGGGGCGCAACTCAGATAGCCTGCATATCAGATATTTACGTTACCATAAAAACTTCAGGTAAGTGTTACTACATTAGAACACGGTATTTGGGGTGACCTAAATCTGTGTACCTGGGCCATAGTCACTCACATTCGGTTCTAGAATAAACACTTACTCTGAGATGAGAGCTGTTTTTATACCCAACACAGGATCCCAAGGATCACCGGAGAAGTCACCTGGATCAGCACCAAGTGCAAGCACAGCCCCCCTGTGCCCAAACATTGGGTGTTGCCTTCTTGAATGGTGCTGGTGCATTCTTTGGTTTGTTTGATGGCTTACTGATATATATATGTATATATATATATATATATATATATATATATATATATATATACATAAAGTTATGTGTATATGTGTATGTAGAGGGTTTTGTGCATGTTTGAATACCCATGGAAGTCAGAAGAGGGTGTCAGATCCCCCGGATCTGGAGTTACAGGTAGCTGTGCTGGGAACAGAACTCCAGTCTTCTGAAAGAGCAGCAAATGCTCTTAGCTGCTGCGTCATCTTTTGGACCTGTTCATTTTTAGCTGACTGAGGATTTTATTTGGATACTGTTTTTGGTTTCAGAGCATTTGGTTTTAAGGTATCCATTTTTACTTCAGTCATTCTATATATTTTGTTGTTTGTTTTCTGATGTTTGGTTTGTTAATTTCATTTCCGATTTACTGTGCAGTTACTTCTTTTAATTACTTTCCTTGCTGCTGTAACAAAAGTACCAGAGCAAAGCAATGTAAAGGGTTTATTCCATCACAGTAGCAGGTCCCGGTGGTCAGAGCTGGAAGCCGTTAGTCACACTGTATCCATAGTCAGGAAGCAGAGAATGATGACTATGCAGAATAACAAACTTTCTCCTGTGTGTGGTCCAGACAGTAGCCCAGTCCAGGGAATGATGCTACCATTTTGGGAGTGGATCTTCCCACTTCAGTGAATCTAATCTAGACAATCCTTCATAGATGGTCCGAGGCTAATTTAATCTAGATAATCCCTCAGTGTGCCTGGAGGCTTGTCTCCTAGGTGACTGCAGGCCCTGTCATTGACAACATTAACCATCACACTGGCATGCCAACTTAAGGTGTGTAGAAGTATAAACATGTTAAAAATGATTTTGATTGCTTTTGCCTCTTTTGAAAACAGGCTTTTAAAAAGTTATTTTCTTAGCCAAGCCTAGATAAGATTTAACTCTATAAAGATTTGAGAATAGAAGAAACAAAAAAGTCATTTAAAAATCCGATCTGTTTAAATGCCTACAGAGACAACTTACAGTTTACAGATGATCCCTGTGTATTAATTTCATCATAAATCTAATTTAGATTTAGTTCCTCTTTTACAACGCGTTTGGAACAACCATTTATCTGAGGTTCCAGCTTTCCTATAGAGGTAAGCAGGCAAAGGAGCTCAAAAAAAGGGGGGAGACAGACCCAAACTGGAGACACACAAGCCAGACTTGTGTCCTGGCATTTGGTAGGCCAGATGAAGTGGGGATGTTTTTATTTTATTTTATTTTATTTTTTTTTGGTTTTTTCGAGACAGGGTTTCTCTGTGTAGCTTTGCGCCTTTCCTGGAACTCACTTGGTAGCCCAGGCTGGCCTCGAACTCACAGAGATCCGCCTGGCTCTGCCTCCCAAGTGCTGGGATTAAAGGCGTGCGCCACCACCGCCCGGCGGGGATGTTTTTAAACAACATTTGTAAATGCTCTTTACAGTAAGACTTAATTAACAAGTGGTTCAAATTTGTGGGTAAAAAAAAAATGTCTCGGGGTTGGGGATTTAGCTCAGTGGTAGGGCGCTTGCCTAGCAAGCATAAGGCCCTGGGTTCGGTCCTCAGCTCCAATATAAAAAAAAAAAATGTCTCCCATGATTTGTAATGTCTTATGAAAATAATTAAGAGATCAATGGCCCCAATTAAGACAGTGCCTTGTCTTAAATGGCCAGTCTTAGAAAGGACTAAATCTTATCCTTAAGATTGGAGCTACCCCCTTGAACTCTATTCAGAAGAGACCGCTCACAAATGGCCCAGAAGACAAGTGTCTTGGTTACCTTTCTACTGTTGTGATAAAAACACCATGGCCAACGCAAATTATAAAAGAAAGCATTTAATTTGTAGGTCATGGTTGCAGAGTTAAAGAGTCCGTGACCATCCTGGTGGGTAGTATGGTGGCAGGCAGGTGCGTATGGCACTGGGAGCAGCAGCTGAGAGCTCACATCTCAATCCACAAAGAAAAGCAGAGAGAGAGAGAGAGAGAGAGAATAGATAAACAGACAGAATGAACTAGGAATGGCATGGACCTTTGAAACTTCGAAGCCCACCCCCAGTGACACACCTCCTCCAACAGGGCCACACCTCCAGATCCTTCCTAAACAGCCCACCAACTAGGGACCAAGAATTCAAATATATGAGCCTATGAGGGCCATTCTCATTTAAATCATCACAATAATTCCAAGTTCAACTCAAGAAGGTTCCCATTCTCCCTGGTGTGTGTGTGTGTGTGTGTGTGTGTGTGTGTGTGTGTGTTTCATATTTCCTCCACTGCCCTCTCTCAGAATTCACCTACTGTGTTTCTGTCCAGTGTCTAGTCTTCAATTAAAAACTTTACACTAATTCTGTTTGATAAACACTTTTTGTGGGACACTGGGAGCCCCTGAAGGAAGAAGGCAGGTAAGTCAGGAAGCATACTGGTTTCAAGTTTCAGGAAAGCTGACAGGACAAACTCGGGGTAGGCTGGAGTCACGACCAGAGAGACCATAAACAGCTCTGAAGCCTCCACTATGAAGTCAATTGCTCATTGACATCCTAGTGGGCTCCTCTTCCTGAGAATCTGTCTTGGGGCCATTTCTGTCACCTAACTAGGAAGCTCAACAGTCCCCATGTACATTTTTCCTGGAGCCATGCTCTGTCCTTATACTTTCCCTACTACCCAGTCCACACACCCACTGGGGTGGGCCTGTCATTGAGCGCTTCTCCTTGTCTGCAGCCTCTCCACACCACATGTACCCCCTGACTGCTAAGTGATAGGATTAAGGGTGTGCACTACCACTGCCTGACTTTTTGTGTTTACTTAAAATGGCTGGCTATGTCCTCTGATCTCCAGGCAAACTTTATTTATTAACATACAAATAAAATGTCACCACAAAGGGGGGGGCAACATAAACACCTGTGTATGCTTACCAAAATTCATTTCTGGTCGGAACCCAACCTTCAGCTTTTAGTTGAGAACTCCGTAATAGTCAAGCGGGCACTCAGACTTTACTGAGTTTCATCCCAGTTTTCCCCTCCACACTTTTCTTGTCTCACTGGAAAACCCAGACCTCTTTGGAGTGGGCCCCACCGGAGCTGCCTACCGAGAACCTTTGCAGCTCTCGTTAACAGCGCTCACTTTTGCCTTCTCCAGTTGACCGTAGCGGGATGGCAGGGAAATGAACGACAGGGTGCTAGCTCTGTCGCGGTCCCTATGCCGTGCGCATCCAGACCACGGGCTGGGGCCCGGGTCAGCGACGCTCTAGAATCCGGAGGATTTGGGTCTCTGTGGTCACTACTCGGGAGCCAGGCGTCCAGAACTTCCGGCGCTAAAAGAGTAAGATGCAAATCCCACAGGAGATGAGGCTGACAAGGAAGAGGAGGCGAAAGGAAAGGCGGGGGTACGGAGCCTGTTGCCTAGGTAACAGCCCCCCCCCCAGTATCTCCGCCCCTTCGGGCCTAGGGAGCCGGTAGGCCCTGATGTGCAGACGAACATAGTGGTGCTCTGCCCGCCCTTCTCCCAGCGCCCGAGGCTGCTAGCACGCATGCGTCAGAACGTTGCGGGGCTGCGCACGCACCCCTGAGGTGCGCGCATCACCCCTTGGGCGTCTCCCGCCGCGAGCTGGACGGCTGGGAACGCGCGCGCGCGTGCGTGCAAGACAAGGGCGCGGCTTCCTCGTCCGGTGAATTCTGATTGGGTAGAGTAAAATGAAGGGGTGGGAACCTCCGCGGGGACCGCTCAACGATTGGCCGGGGATTGGAGGAGCGTGGTCCTGGGGCGGCCGCCGGCGGGGTGGTCTGGCCCGGCGCGCGCGAGGCTGAGGTGGTGCCTGCGTTCCTTGATAAGTGAGCGAGTCCAGGGGGGACACTCGTCGCCCGGTTGGCCAGACCCGGACACCCCAAGTCCCCGAGGAGGCGTGGCGGCGAGGTGCCGGTGGGTCGGTGAGTGCGGTCCCGGGAGCCCCGGGGCCCCGCCCCTCCCTTTCTTCCGGGGCCGCGCCGCGCCCCCTTGAACCCCTATTCCCGGGCTCAGGGCTCTCCGCGCCAGCCGCCCCCTCTCGCCTGCTGCGCAGGTCTTGCCTCCTAGCCCACAGAGGGGAAACTGAGGCCCTCAGGGCGGTCTCCTCACCAGCGCCTCCACGCACACACCATGGCTGAACCGCTGAAGGAGGAGGACGGCGAAGACGGCTCTGGGGAGCCCCCGGGGCGGGTGAAGGCAGAACCGGCCCACACCACGGCCTCTGTCGTGGCCAAGAACCTGGCCCTGCTCAAAGCCCGCTCCTTCGACGTGACCTTTGACGTGGGGGACGAGTACGAGATCATCGAGACCATAGGCAATGGGGCCTATGGGGTGGTGTCCTCGGCGCGCCGCCGCCTCACGGGTGAGCTGGCTTCCTGAGGCTCAGCATGTGTGGACTGCTTTCCAGAGGCGGTGAGGAACCCGCACGGTCCCGGGAGGATCAGCTGCGCCGGGGATTCTGGTTCCACTCACCACTTACCGACTAGGTGCCAGCTCCCCGTTAGGTACCCTTCTCAGGAACCCTGCTTCTCCCAGTCAGCCTACTTCCTCCTTAGCAAGATGATATCCCTGTAAGCCAGAATAGAGAGGTCCTCCTTGGTGTCCAAAAAGATAATCTTTTAGAGCCAGAGATTGGCACAATGGCTTGGTGATGGAATGGGGGAAGATCGGGGAGGGAGAGAATATATGAGGAGGGAGAGTGAGCTCAGGGAGTACAGTCACGACCACCACTAACGAGCTGTGTCTCCTCTGTATGTGAGCTCTTAGGACCCGCCTCATGAGGTAGTTGTGAAGTTAAAATTTGGTATACGTCACACACAGGGTCTTGCACATAGTAGGTACACACCTGTTGTTAGTTGAGTTCTGGAAGGGCGGTGTGAAAGGGGCCTGCAGCTGCTTCAAGGTACTCTCTGGTATATGCCTTTTCCCTGCTCTCCAGGCCAGCAGGTGGCCATCAAGAAGATACCCAATGCTTTTGACGTGGTGACCAATGCCAAACGGACCCTCAGGGAACTGAAGATCCTCAAACACTTCAAACACGACAACATCATCGCCATCAAGGACATCCTGAGGCCCACTGTGCCCTATGGAGAGTTCAAATCTGTGTAAGGAGTGGGATAGGAGAAGGAGATACTGCTGGGACCAGAGGAGAAGTCCAGACTGCCCACTGCTGCCAGCCATGCTGAAGTTTTGGGAGGGCAGTTGAACCTAATGTGAGACAGGTTGGGGAAAGGCCATGACTCCCAGGAGCAGTGTTCCTCTAGGACATAGGTGGGAACAGTTCTTGTTTCTCAAGAAGAATACAAGGGTTAGAGATACAGCTCAGTGGTAGGATGATGAGCATCTTTGAGGTTTTAGGTTGACTCTTCTGTATTGGGACAAAAAAAAAGAGAGGATGTATTTCTTTATCTCAACTATATAGTAAGTTCAAGGCTAGCCTGGACTACATGACACCCTATCTCAAAAGACAAAAAACCCAAACAACAAGAGAGGGAGTGAAGCAAACAGACCCAAGTTTTATAAGAGAACAGACATAGGACATTATAGTGTCATGACACCTTCCTATTCTTATGGCAGACATAACTAAGAGATGACAAAATACTTTCTTAAAAATAGAAAATTGACAAGCTTTCATCATTTCATTACACCTTTTCCAGTAACTGCTGGCACACAAGAATTTGCTCCAAAATTAACTGTACTGGCCAAGCCTGGTATAATTAAACATCTTTTTTTTTTTTTAATCTGACAGGGAAATTTGATCCATGGAGAAAATGATCTGTCAAAAAGTTGTGGAAAAGTTGGGGCTGGAAAAATGGTTCAGTGGTTAAGAGCACTTACTGCTCTTGGAGAGGACCTGGGTTCAGTTCCCAGTGTCCACATGGAGGCTCACAGACGTCTGTAACTCCAGTTCTAGGGGATCAGACTCCCTCTTCTGGCCTCTGTGGGCATCAGGTGCATATGTAGTACACATATATATATGCAGAGAAACATACACATAAATTAAAAAAAAAAATCTTCTATACAAAGCTGTAGAAGAATTTAGAAGCTGGTGCTATTCTCTCATATCATGCTGCTAGTCCTCTGGGGTTTCAGTGTAAGGGCATAAACTCTAGAATTGGGAGGCTAGTGAGCCTGGGGCTTGTCCCTGTAGTGTGAAGAGGCCAGCTTACACCTCTCTCACCGTTTCTAGCTATGTGGTACTGGACCTCATGGAGAGTGACCTGCACCAGATCATCCACTCCTCACAGCCGCTCACACTAGAGCATGTGCGATACTTCCTGTACCAGCTGCTTCGGGGCCTCAAGTACATGCACTCTGCTCAGGTCATCCACCGTGACCTTAAACCCTCTAACCTCTTGGTGAATGAGAACTGTGAGCTCAAGATTGGTGACTTTGGAATGGCCCGTGGCCTGTGCACGTCCCCTGCCGAGCACCAGTACTTCATGACTGAGTATGTGGCCACTCGCTGGTACCGAGCGCCTGAGCTCATGCTCTCCCTGCATGAGTACACGCAGGCCATTGACCTCTGGTCTGTGGGCTGCATCTTCGGGGAGATGCTGGCCCGGCGACAGCTCTTCCCGGGCAAAAACTATGTGCACCAGTTACAGCTGATCATGATGGTGTTGGGAACCCCGTCACCAGCTGTGATCCAGGCTGTTGGGGCTGAAAGGGTGCGGGCCTATATCCAGAGCCTGCCACCGCGGCAGCCTGTGCCCTGGGAGACAGTATACCCAGGTGCTGACCGCCAGGCCCTCTCACTGCTGGGCCGCATGTTGCGATTTGAACCCAGTGCCCGGATCTCAGCTGCTGCTGCCCTTCGTCACCCCTTTCTGGCTAAGTACCATGACCCCGACGATGAGCCTGACTGTGCCCCGCCTTTTGACTTTGCGTTTGACCGGGAAGCTCTTACCAGGGAGCGCATTAAGGAGGCCATTGTGGCTGAGATTGAGGACTTCCATGCACGGCGGGAGGGCATCCGCCAGCAAATCCGCTTCCAGCCTTCTCTGCAGCCTGTGGCTAGTGAGCCTGTGTGTCCAGATGTTGAGATGCCCAGTCCCTGGGCTCCAAGTGGAGACTGTGCCATGGAGTCCCCTCCTCCAGCACCACCACCGTGCTCTGGCCCTGCTCCTGACACTGTTGATCTGACTCTGCAGCCCGCCCCCCCAGCCAGTGAGCTTGCCCCACCAAAAAGAGAGGGTGCCATCTCTGACAACACCAAGGCAGCCCTCAAAGCTGCCCTGCTCAAGTCCCTGAGGAGCCGGCTCAGAGGTGCTTTGTGGGTCTGGCAGCTGGCTGGGTAGTGGAGTGGTGGGTAAGGATTCTCAGAATTGTAAGCCCTTACCTCTCCCTTGTCCAACTGCCCTGCAGATGGCCCCAGCGCACCCTTGGAGGCTCCTGAACCTCGAAAGCCTGTGACAGCTCAGGAACGCCAGCGAGAGCGAGAAGAGAAGCGGAGGAGGCGGCAGGAGAGAGCCAAGGAGCGGGAGAAGCGGCGACAAGAGCGGGAGCGCAAGGAGAGGGGGGCTGGTGCCTTGGGGGGGCCCTCTACCGACCCCCTGGCTGGACTGGTGCTTAGTGACAATGACCGAAGCCTGCTGGAGCGCTGGACTCGCATGGCTCGGCCTCCTGCCCCAACCCCAGCCCCGGCCCCGGCCCCGTCCCCTGCCCAACCCACTAGTCCTCCCACTGGCCCTGTATCTCAGTCCAGCGGTCCTCCTCTACAGCCTGCAGGCTCTGGTCCTGGTCCTGCCTCCCAGCCTGTTTGCCCACCCGCCGGCCCTGCTCCCCAGCCTTCTGGCCCTCCTGGCCCTATCCCTGCCCCACTCCAAACTGCCCATTCCACTAGCCTTCTGGCCCCTCAGTCACTTGTGCCAACTAGTGGGTTGCCTGGCTCCAGTGCCCCAGAAGTTCTGCCTTACTTCCCATCTGGCCCACCACCTCCAGATCCTGGGGGGCCCCCTCAGCCTTCTACGTCAGAGTCACCTGATGTCAACCTGGTGACCCAGCAACTGTCCAAGTCTCAGGTGAGAAGAGAGACAAAGGCCTGGCATGCCTTGACCTGGGTCCTGAAAGGTGGGTTTGGATTGTTGTCCATGTTGGATGAAACCAAGGAGCAAAGGGAGCCTTGCCTCTTTGAGCCTGCCCCCTTGCAGGCTCATAGCAGGAGCGTAAGGTCAGTGAAGAGGTGGTTGGGAGATAGACTACTGTTTGGGAAGTGTCTGGCCTAGAGACGTCCCTACTTGCACTAGTACGTGATGATTTTGAGACAGTGTTCGTGTTCTGGGATACCTGGTCAGAGTGGTTAGTAGTAGGCTCTGCCCTGCTGCCCTTAGTTTGTCCTTCCTGGCACCTGTGTTATAACCTGGTGATTGTCCCTGCAGGTGGAGGACCCCCTGCCTCCCGTGTTCTCAGGCACTCCAAAGGGCAGTGGGGCTGGCTACGGTGTTGGCTTTGACCTGGAAGAATTCTTAAACCAATCTTTCG